GAACCAAGCGATGTATATAGTCGCTTTTGAATATGAGCATTACCTTTCGAAATGGTAGACAAAGATAAATGATCATTAGGATCAGCTGAATTATTGGAATCTAAATTACAAGATTTAGTACTACTTGAGGCAAAATGAACAGTAGCTTTGCATACTGCTTGAATGTGTCCTATCTTACCACATCTAAAACATTTAGCATTACGAAATGTACAATAATAACGAGAATGAAGTTTTCCACATGATAAACATTTGCCAAACTTGGTCTCACCTTTTTGATTTCCTTTGTAATTCTTTTTTGAGACACCGTTCATTTTTACACGAGAATAGGAACCTCTGTTAAACGAACACAATTTTGATTGACCCTGAGATTGCTTTTCATCATGATAACTAATCAAAGTATTGGAAATCTTCATCGACTGAATATCAAGTTCATTCAACGCCTCGTAGTTAATGCACGCAGTTCTAACATCTTGAAAGGAACAGTTTGACATTCTTAACAGCTCTCTTTCCAAACTAGGTATGTTAATTCCTGCAATTAATCGGTCTCTCAGCTGCACATGAAGTTGATCACCGAAATTACACTTGACAGCCTGTTTCTGCAATTCAAGAATAAATTCCTTAACATTTTGGTCATTTTGACGAATCATCTTATGAAATTTCGCTCTTTCACGGCATTCAAAACCAGGGCACTTTACATGATTCAATAATAACTCCTTTAGCATTGCATAGGGAAGTGAAATAGGTTTTTCTGGATATGCCAAGGTTTTCAATAAGCTGTACGCTTCTTTTCCGATGAATGTTAGGAAATGAGCCACAATTTTATCATCTTTGACATCTTTCTTGGTCATACTCCAGATTTCAAACCTTTCCAAATAATCTTCAAAAGCTTCAGAAGTAGAATGAATATCTAGCTGTTCCATTACAAGTTCCATCGCGACGCCACTGTGATGCTTAGAAGTATATGAATCAAGAATTAATGATCTGCACAAACGAATGTATTGTATTTAGAATTCGAAATCAAGCATTTCACAACAACAAGAAGTTACTAGTTCATTCAAACACCACAACAGCGCAAAACATATCATACTTTTTAGAACAATTACATCTCACTGTTCTATCAAAAGTAGGAAAACAGTGGTTATAGGTAGTGATATATTCTCCCCGAAGATCATACACAAAAAAGCATGATTTTTTTCTACCGCAATACAGAGAGCCAAGTTAATTATATCCAAATCAGTGGCGAACACAAAAGTGAAATCAAGAAGCGATGGTCAACTATGGGAACAAATTTATAAAAATATAAAATAGTTTTTCCTGGAGGTGCTGAAAAATTCAGGAGGTTCGGCTAAACAGACCAGACAATTTACCTATTGAAACATTGGACTCGGGCACAGAAGTAACCACAAAGGTGCTCCGCATTCAGTTCAGAAAGATTAGAGTGTAAGAACAAGTACCAAGAGAATGAAAAAGGGGGTACTTCATCACGATAACAATGAAAGGAGATCTTGGTAAGTATGATAAGGTCAATGAAATCGATCTACTGTCAGTGCCAGTAAATGTCTTCAATTAAGTGTTGTTAAACCGACTAAAAGACTGAATAGGCTCCCGACTTCGATATCAGCAGGCTGGATTCCGTAGGGACAAATCTTCTTTCGACCAAATAGCGACATTACGGATCAGTGTGGAACGGTCATTTGAACTGAACTCACCAATCAACACCAACTTCGTTCACTGAGAGAAAGCATTTGACAACGCGGGCAGTGTGACACCACGGAGAATTTTTCGACACTCGGGCGTGTCTGAGTAGATAATCAACAGATTGCAGAATTCTTATGATAGATTCTACTATGGGATCGTGGATGGAAGACAGCCGGTAGACTCGTTTCAAGAGGAGACCGTCGTTATACAAGGTTGCCTACATTCACATTTTCTCTCTCTCCTCGCGGTCGAACATCAAAACGGTCCTGTTATATGGAGACGAAGTTTAAAGAACTATCTGAAACATCCTTTTTTCACACAGGATTCATTAGATCCGTTGACTACCATCAACAACACACTGCTCTGACGAAGAACAAACCAACTCCCAACTGAAGCAAATATTTGGAGGTGAAGGTAAACCCTGACCTGGAATCCTAAGGGAAATAGGAAAAGAGGGGAACGGAATGGCTTATCGAGACGCGAGTTGGGAGCAGGTATCAAAGGAATGAATAGCAAGGTTGCTTGTAGATTGCTAATTGGCGGACAGTACTTCAGTGAGGGTGAATGGGGTAAGAAAGTGATATTTTGTAGTGAAACCTGGTAGCGTATTCTAAATGTAGCTGACTGGTTATCTACATCGACAGAGCTAGATAAGTAACTCTGGATACTAATCAGAATTTCATTATAATGCTTGAGCAAAGCGACTAAAGAACTGAAAAGTTGATATCTATAGTTTTATTGAACTCGATGATCGGGAATAAATGAATCAGGTACAACTTGACTACGAATCTTTTTGAGTACGAATTAAGTGATTAAACTAACCGTCATAAAAACTGGTAACCAGTAAGATTGGATGGACGCAACCAGAATGAAATCATATCATGGATTTAACTTTTGTGTGCCACATTCTGGTCGCCTTAGGAGTGAAGATGACTGGTAAAGATCAATTAGGTAGCTTCAGGTAAATGCAAATGTTCTGAAGAGAGCAAATATTTACAGCTTAAGTGTATATATTTAAGTCGTATGACTATGAACAAGTCTATATAGCAATTAAGTTCGTATCTCGTTCGTTATTCCAGACCTTCTATAAGAAGGAAGAAGACGGAATAGATCAGATGAAATAAGTGTATTTTCTGGCGATTTCGGGGTATCGAAGGCATACCAAAACTCATCAGAGGAATAAAGGTTGGTACAGAGCAAACAAAGCAAGATAGCGATCGGAAAGATGAAAGCCACTTGACCGTACTGTAATGTCAGTCTACATACAAAAGGACGGAGGTCATTGCGTAAAACATAAGCACGTATCTAAAAATATTCGATCATACGTTCACTGGTACAAATGATTATAAGGATGAATGTTGCTACTTAACCTGTCTGTTTTCCTCGTAATAGTGAGATCAATACAAGTATAAAATCCTTAAACTAAATAAACTGAAGTTGCTGCAATTATTATTTCCCTTTCTTGCTCCAAAACCGCCGTACTCTTCATTGACGATGTTTTGCAAAATATTCAGTGATATGTTACTGAATTTACAACAGATAAGTTGGTCAATTTCTGATCGCAGGAAAGCGAGTTCTGAAAATCCTCAATCATAATGTTGTTATTTATGCGGTAAATACAAGACAGATGAGATTTAGTGTTCATACAATAAATTCTTAGGATGTTAAGATGTCATGGATATCATTCAAAACGCTTGCCTGTAACACCTTTCAGTTCGACAATACTGAAAGCCGAATCCAATCAAAAGCCAGGAATGAAGTGGATCAAAGGTATATTTGAATGATGGTTTGGATATTGAGGATTAGAAGTAGGCTAATCTTTCTAGTTGATGCACAGGACTGCGTTGTACGGTGTACTCATAGGTGATCTGGTGCAGATGCATGACCGAGCACCCTAATTTTCGGTGTTTCGATTGAAACTAGTGAGGTCAACATCATCGTCAGAAACTTATAGAACTATTTTTTGAAGATTCACTCACCACTACAGATCTGTAGTTCACCTTGTAAACCACCAGAAGTGTAGAAAACGGAATATTGCTTGCTACTCTTGCAAATATTACCACGTTGCGACAGCAATTTATGTTACTGCTATTTAAGTTTCCATCTTAAACCTCTTATGAATAAACTCATTGACAGCTACGTAACGTGATAGTAATTATGTTCTTTCTGAAACCAAGAAGTAGGAGGTTACTGTAACTAAATGTATTGCCTTTGAAAGTGTTCTGAAATAGTTATGAAAATAGTAGAGGTATCTCGGGAAGTTTATAAAAAAGAATTGATAACTTTTCTGTCTGAAATCGATCTGCAGTAAATTTAATATATTCCATGTTCGACTGTGGCTACTGATATTTATTATAAGCAAGCATAAACGACGTCACAACGGTAGTGGAATGAAGGATTTCGGTCAGTATAAAGAATGAACTCTTCAAGCCCCAGAATGTTTTTGGGAACACGAAATCCAATCAGTTTTATGGGAAGGTGTACTATGTAGCCTGAGCTGACTGGAATAAGGGAAGGTCTTCTATGATGTATTACGTTAACAATATGCATGCAGCTGCTATATTGTCAACCAATGAATTATTTTATAGAACTTGAAATTATGACTGTGTTCATAGGTTGGAAACAGAGTCATCAAACTAAGTGGCTTCGAGATCTATTAGGTGGATACTTAGTCAGCCAAAATGATACGAATATCCATTATTGTAAATTAAGCCGGTGACGTTCGATAACTGATAAAGTCAACAAAAATCCCGAACAACTGATTTCGTAAAGTGAATTCTCTGTTAAGATATTTAGATGTATCTTGACAGAATCGGAGATAGAATTGGTTTTAGTGGAGATTTATGAAATTTTTGAAAGTCTGGTAGTTTTAGTCGCTGATTTTCTTTATTTAAACTGCCTTTGAGGACCAGGAAGCATTGAATTATGAACTATTCACATCTTGATTGTCATCAGGCTTGGTTGTTTTACTTCAAAATCATGAGATAACTCAATTGCTAGAGCGAAATAATTTTTGAGAGGAGATATATACGAGATATTCATATTATTTCTACATAGATTCATACAACAATGGAGAAAGTCAGACCTTTAATGGACATTGTAGTTTGATTGATTCCGATACTCTTTTTAATCCAGCATAAATTTACAGTCTTAAACTTAAGGATTTAACCGGCATATTGTTCTGATCATCAAAGTCTGTTGTACTTTTCAAATAGCACAACTGCAACTCACCAACAATCACTATATTAGCCTTTTGATTGTTTGAGTGCTTCAGGAAGTAATGCTATACCTGTCCGCATGGCGGAAAATTTTGCGTTTAGTTTAGGTGGTTAGTCAAAAATAGTGATGTAGCAATGGAGTGAGCTCCATGCAATATGTCTAGTATGAGCCAGTCGACAGGTCCAAATGACACTTCACTTGAGCATTGCTTCACGAATATTTTTGCATTGGTGAGTACTTGGTATAAAACGTTGTTTTTGAATGAAATACGATTTGAATTATATTTAACTGATAAATATTTTTCCATAGACTGATTTCAGTGGTATTCAATACCGAAAATATATCCTCCATACTCCAAAGGAATACCATGATCCACTAAACGATCCAATTATTAAGTCTTACACTCTGTGCCAAAAGTATAGCGTTCTCTCAGCTTGGGTGCGCTCAAAACCAGAGTCATCGGACTTATCAAATCCTTGCGCTTTCTCAAAATTCACCAAAGAGCTTTGGGTGTTCTGGTATGGAAACGATGACTTCCCTAACGCGGAAAGCTGTATACTACCAGAACTCCGTAAAGAGGACCATGGAAACTGGCGACAAGGTTTATCATATGAAACAAGAACTGTCCTGTTTCGGGCTTTGCACAACGTTGTTGAGAGGTTTGTATTTAGGTTTTTGAGCTAATTTTTAAAGATGTCTGCTTACCAAAGGGTTTGTGCGCTTGGGCAAGTGGTTTGTACAGCCTCGTAAATATGGTTGCAATGATAACAAGTAAGATTAAATTATAAAAATTTAACTCTTCTCAGTGTACAATATAGTGTCAGCTTCTCTTTCTTCTTACATGGTGAGAGCACAGTGTGTGCCAGTCTCGACATTCGTCAACATGTTGCTGTCCAAAGAGTTGGGGTCGAACACATTCAAAAGTGTGTCACAAATCAATCAACTATACCTGGTAGGTCTTCCCTAAAGAATCTAATATTCCATGTACAACTAGTTTCCACGCAAACCATTTATCGCTGTATTAATGCTCACCACCATATACACTTCACCATATTTTGAGTTTCAAAACTAGTTCGTAAATTTCACCCTGCAAATGCATTTTCTGAATAAGTTCCTTGTCTAATCTTTTTAATATTCGATATTACTCTGGTATTTATTGTAGTAATTTTGACAAACTGCTTTATAGCGTAGTTAAGATTTGTACGATGTTCTTTGCTTCTGAGTAAACGTATCTAGTAGTCGTGTATGTGCTCAATCCTGAAGACTAGAGGTAATGCCTGTTCGCCTAATCAAAGCAGTTTCAACGGCGTCCTAGATTTCAACGTAGTAGTTGAAACCCATGTACTCTATCTATATGACCATCATTACGTGTTTAATTTCATATAAACCTACCAACCTTCAAGACATACATAGAAATTTTTTATGGCTGTTGTGTTTAGCACAGTGTGGGTCTTACCGCCGTTAAGTTATAGTTAACCAGTTCAATTTTGACTGGAGTAAAATTTGTAATAGCTAAGTCATTTGCTATTCAATGTGTCTAGGCATTTTAATTACATTCATTTGTTGATAGATAGTCTTACGCATGCTTCATAACGTTAGATCTTAAAAGTTTCTGTCTTCCCAGTGAAATAATCTGAAACCAAATTACTTATGTTACAGTTTAGCACCACAAGTTCATGACTTTACTTTTACATCCTAATAATGGATTCGCTTTTTAGACTATTACGAGATAGTAATCTTAAAAATTAGTTATCGAAGGATTCCTAACAAAGAATTTTAGTGTACGAACAGGTCTAACGTAATGCTGTTTTATTCACACATTTTGTGCCGCTTTTGTTTTTATAATATCTTTTGATTGCTAGGTGGTTTAACTCATGTCATAACTGTGGGTTAGACTCCTTAATAAATATACCACAGTGTACAAGCCTCTGTTCTGAGTGGTGCCATTTTTGCGCTTTGTTTTATTCAAATGAATAACATTTTTCCGTGAATTGTAACTTCGTTATAGTTATCCTGGCGCCTTATGGAATATCTGCGGAGCTGACAGGCTTTGGCTATGAAAAAAAGGACGGAGATCTGATGGTTGAGTCGGAAGCATGGTCGACTTTTTACCCACTCAGGCCCAGTCACGAGTGTGACCCTGCTATGAGTGGCGTTGCTGGTCTGCCTTTTTTCGCTATGGCTACTCCTACACATCAGAATTCACGCCAACAGAATAGGTTTAGTAATGATAAGAAGCGGACAGTAGAAGAAATCAACCGCCGGTGTCCAGACACTCCGCCGAGATTTGTTGAGGTGATTGTTGGTAAGTTAGCACTAAAATCTGTGGTATCAATCTTACATCATCCCTAAGCTACATGAGCAACCCTTTTTAAGTCATATAACCTGGGATTTACTCGTTGTATACACAGACAACTGAGAAACATGAGATCTAAATGATCAGTCTTAACCAGTAATAAAAAATAAAGTTATGGGTTGTCAGATAAAATAACATTAAATGAAAACGTCTAATAAACATCCACTAATATAAATGATATGTGCTTATTCTGTAGGGTTTTCCTAAAGTCATTAAATTCGGAATCGGGTGACAAAATTTACCTGAAATCTAAGTTTAGGTTTCATATGTACAACAACCTGATGATATATATATTATATCCCAGTGTGCGGTTTGTTGCTAGTCGGTAGTGAGTATAAGCAGTTACCCAATAATACGCTACAGACTTAAAGTCCCTTCAATGGCTAATACCGTATTCTTTAATACACTGCGTGTATATCAGTGCTCTGTTCATCATGCTATTTGGTTTTAGGTGTTTCTTAAAGTATTTCTGTAGAATGAAAATCTGATATGATGTAGTGAATATTTTGAATACAATAGGTTAGCAATAAAGGTGTCCCGAACTCGAACCACTCTCCACCTACTTATGTTTGGACAACCTAGTACTTTCATTAACCGCCATACTTAGTAAGGCCTATAATAAAGTACCGGATGAGTTAGTTAATTTTTTTATACTGATAATAAATGTAGGCTTATAGAGTTGATTTACTTTTAAAAGTGCACGACATACCCCTATACACGACAACTCATCAAGCAAGTAAGGATTCATGTACTCAGTTTTTGAAGATTAATAATATTATATTGCTACTCAAGTGAAGGTGGATGCAGCACAATCTGAACGTACTCATCAAAGGTTAAGTACTTTAACCACTAAACTATCGCAAATCGCTCTAGTTACTAACTGTTTCCTATTGATAATATATAAGCTGAAATTGTGAACAAGTCTATTATGATCCACTACAATGTTTTTGAAAGTTTTAGCATTTTTAACCTTTAAGCTTCTGGCCAAACAATACTAAATGCAATTATCTAGATGGGGTAGGGTGCACGGTAAGTATATATCTACAAAACAGTAAACACTATTAAAGATCTTATCATTTGTACATTTACCGTATTGCAGATATTTAGTATGATTTATAAGCGCTATTTGTAATTGGTTCGTATTTTCTAACAGATGGTTTTCGTATGAGATATCCTATGTGCTTTGTGCTGATAACCTCTGTAAACGATTCACCTTGTCAACCAGAATATAATCCATCATCTGAAGGTGAAACAGTCCACTCATCTGAAGTATCCGGTCAAAATTTGTCTGTGAACACACCGGTATCATATATGCCGAGTAAACACTCTGTATACAATACTCATATCCCCACTAGGATAAAAACATCACGTTTATGGCGAATAAACAGACGGAGCAAACGCCCTTCTATAAAAATGAACACACCCGGGACATCTTGGCTGAAAGCAATTACTTCCAGTGGTTCATTGCAGTCTGATTTTTTGGTAGATGTTCGTCATATTTACCTAGCTGGTAGAACTCTTCACTGTGCATTACAACATAACCACCCACCTTCTACGAAACCAGAGTGGCAATCAAAACAATCACATTCTACTGATAGGATTGATATAGGTTGTAATACTGATGAGTCCATTACTTCATCATCAGAAATGTGCTCATTAAACATACAAGATCCATGTACTATCTTGCAATGCTGCTGCAACAGGTAATTTTATTACTTAGTATTCCTATCCGTACAGTGTTTAACGAATAATATTCGAACTTTTAACATTGATCGTTATACGTCAGTTAACTATACATTGCTGTCATTTATATTTTTTGGTTATTGGATGCATTTATCTGTGTAAAATCCCGTATCATATCAAGCATAATAAGACAGGAAGATGTATATTTATTGGAATTTTTGTACAAGTGAAATACTAAGTATTCATTAACTACTGACCACTCATAAAGAACGTTAGATATGAATTCGCGTTTCCCTGGGAAAAATCTCATCGCATCTCAGTGTGTGTTTGTGCAGTCTCATTCGATCCAACAGTTTCTATCAGGTGGTTTAGAAAAGTCATTTGCTCAGTAAACCCCTGAGATACTCAGCGGAAACCTATTGTCTAAATAAATGGTTTGCCACTATTAACAGTTTCCAATTTGTGTACTCAATGGGCATAGTATTTAGTGAAAATGGTTTTAATGCATATATTATTTCTTCTAAATAATCTATTGGGGTATCCTTTCAGGTTTCCTCGAGTTCGTCGATCTTTTGTTAGTGGCTCGTTCCATCAGCAAGATCCCTGTCTTCGACGATCTTTGAAATCATCTATTCATTCCAACATGTCGCTCTCTGATCGTCCAAGAACTCCGCTCCCATCGATTACTACTAACTTAACAGCAACCCATGACCCTTCCATGCCTACTCTGAGCCCTCAGCAACCAGCTCCAAATCAAAATCCAAACCCTAATTCTAATACTCTCCTCAATGAATTGAATAATGATTTTGTTTGTGATCAGAATACATCCCAGATTACGCCTTCATCCACTCACCTTTCAACAGCGCCACAACCTCCATCACTTCTTCCTAAGCCTGAACCTAACCCAACCGTATCTTCGATTGTTAAGGTAACATGTTCATAAATATTGTAAAATTCATCGATAACCAAACCTTTTTATCAAAGATAATATTCTTATGTTATTGCAACTGTCAAGGTTTTGGCCGTTTCATACTTTTACTGCTTTAGTTTAACTAGTGTACTTAAATGTTTAAGCAATGCTTTCATTGTTTGCTGCATATTCTACATTTTAGTAAAGAAAAAACACATGGTCGTGCTACTGAATTAAATGCTTTCAATTTGACATTTTTTCATTATAATCTAAGTAAAATTACTTTCACTTTTTTTGATGTTTATTTAGTTAAATTTGTAAATGAATAAGTTATTGATGAAAAGCACCATCACTCAAACCATCTAAATGTTGTGCCAGTATAGATAGAAAACTAAATGTATAATTGTATAACTAATTTTATCTCCCAACCATACCTCATCCCCAAAAAATTCAACACAAATAAGAACGCTCACTAGCTACTTTGTTAGTCATAATGCTGTGATTGTTGTGAAATTTTCTTTTTCTACAATAATCTTGTTTAAAGTTTGGTAATGGTACTATTCGAATCCCAAGAAACAGTTGTTATTGGAACCCCTAAATTTCCAGGTTTCACGCTAAATAATTCACTCACAAGCTACGTATTGGTATGTTATCACTAATTACCACCAAAATAATCAACTTTTTTAAACAAAATATGTTTATCGTTAGGATGTGCTTCCAACTATACAATTCAACTATCTTGTAAAAGTTCTTGTTTGTTAATTTTAGATACCTAACGGTTTGGTGACCACGGACTCACCCGTTTCTTTGGATCACCAAACACAATATGCTAAAATGTCATCCCGACAAATTCCAACTGGTTCAGTATCTGTAACAAAAAGGACTTTATTCAACACTTGGCTAGTTCGACATGCATCCCAGGAATTGCCGAGAGAACCATCTAGTGATATAAAGCGTCCAAACTTATGTCTCAGCATTCCAGATCGAATTGAAAGAGAGCAGTATACAAGTGCAGAAGCCATTATCTTACAGTCTACCCTTGAGCAATCATCTCCGCCCTTCTCAAATTGTAGTATTATCGAAGACAATGCATTGTGCAAAGAAAATAATGTAACTCCTGACGAATAGTAAGTGACGTTATTGTTAGAGCTGTTTTGTAAATAGATCATCGATGCATCAATTTTCGGTGTTTTTAATGAGTTATATAAACTTCCATTTACTCTTGTACAAAAACGACCATAACGTTCACACTTCCATAAGATTAATTCAATGCAGCAAGTTGATTAAGTTAAGTAGTAACTCAGTCTATTCGAAATTTCCCTGAACTAAATGCATAATGCTGATCATCTCATTCAGGCTGACTCATTCTCAAATTACTCACTTTACTTTCTGTAAATCTTTCAAAACATGAAGTAAGTTAAGGATGTCTAAATGTATGCACAACGTTCTCATATAAAATGATAGGATTTTGCGATTACTTAAAGCAGTCGGTTATTAATTTCAGATTTTTCACTTTTTTAAATGCAATCCTTTCTTTTTACGAACAAACTTGGCATGAAGATTGTTTCCAGTTTATTGTTGATACTAATATTAATTTGTACTAACAGTTTACCGCGCACACTCGTGTGAAGCTGTTGAACTTTACACAAATTATGTGGTTTTTATCAATAAGATGAAACAAATTTGGTTTGTTTGTTTTGTCAGCTATATCTCCTCATGATCCATCTTTCGACAGGCCAGAAATAAACATTTTTATTGATTACAAAGGAAAATAAGAAATGGTGAAGCAATATCGGATAGATGTCTTTTTCAGAAGAGTCCTATATTTGATGAACTGGACAAAAGGTTGTATTTGTTCATGTCACACGAGAGCTTATCATTCAGTATTCGAATGGGAAATAATTACTATTTAAGATTTAATTAACCTGGGTGCATAACTGCAAAGTTTTGAACTATTGAAAGCGGTCGTTTCAGAAACATTTTATTTTTTGCAGTTTCATCTGTGCTCCGTGTGTCCGAACGACACTTAAACTCCTTATATTGATTGGATTTTTCAGAAATTACTTTTTTGACTGAGTTATTGAGTTGAGGACAAACAACTAATTCGCAAGTTATCATCACTAACCAGGCTGAAGTGTAACTGTCAGTTTTAGCCCTGCCATTTACTCATCAGTAATACCGTAGTAGATTTCTGTAGATATTTAATATGCAACAGTTTGAAATCTCGTCATGTTTGTGAGTTCATGTATGTCGCTTTCATATGAAAGAATCACTATCTGGAATTTTTATAACATTTTCAGTCCATTTAGAAGTAAACGTCCTCGTACTACTATTTGCCGCACTGATTTCAACGATTCTAGCTTAACTGATGGTGCACAAGGAATTACAACAGATATAACAAATACCAATTTCACTTCTGCTAATTCGTGTAAGTTATCCTAATTTATCAACATTTCTTGATGTTATTGTGGTATCGTTATAACGCACTTATTCATTTGTAGGTTCCCCGGATATGAAAGTCACAGAATGCAATGGTTTAATCGATGACCATATCAATCCAGGAGCATTGGAAACAAATACTCATTGTGGATTGATGCATTCTAATGGTTCCATAATGAATAATTTAAGTGGTACTTTTAGTCGCAGCGTTGGACTCATCACTCATGTAAGTCTGTTCACATGTACATGTAGTCAAGTTAAGTGGCATATGTCATGATGCATAATGTTTATTTTGTTCAGAATTATATATGGAATAAATATGCTAGAATTTCTTTGATATTTCTTATTAACTTTTCTAATTTATTGAAGTATCATCTGCCTGTCTGTCTGTACAATCAGAATTGTATATTGGCAATCGGAGTGGATTTATGAAGCGCGTTCTATATTTTATGCTATGCAGATTAAGCTTTCAGGCTAGCTGCATGAAGCAGATCCTTTAAGAAAGTATTATAAACTGTATCTGACACAAGTCGAATACAGTCTTTGAAAATAGACTACAATATATTTTTTCCGTTAATATCGCATACATCAACTAGTGGTATTTTTTGAAAAACAACCGTAATCGATTTAGCTTTTATATTTACCTACAGGCAAATTACGAGTCAGGTTTATTTAAAGTTACCGTATTTGTGGAGCTGTTTTGATTGGGGATAGTCTAATCAATCAGATCAGTTAAAATAGGTTAGATTTAAGCTCAAATCGTAGATTATATCGCTTACTCAAAGCTTCATACTAGAAACAAAGTTGGTTAAAGTGTATCGCTTCAAGGTTCCTTTTGCTTTCAGGTAACATTTACTATTCTTGTAGTCAATATTTTTTTGATGTATTGTTTATCTAGATAATTCTAACAAAGCTATCTAGTCTTGCCAAGTAGCTGACGGGTAATTTTTGATTACATCATAGTTTATCATCTTTTCAGTGATTTGAGAAGTCGATTTATAAACTCGTAATTAACTCACCAGAAATCCTTCACTTCTTTATTTAGTCAGTCAAGTGATATTTAAAGAAATTAATAGTCTATTATTACATTTTAGTTCATAAATCTGTACTCACCCAACGAGTTTTATGACTTCTGTTATTTCAACCTTTGTTGATCTGAGTGATAGATGCCTTTATTTGAATCTTTTTTTGCTCTTGAAATAGCAACCGTTTACATCATTAGTGTGGAGTTTGATATCTTGTTTTCTACCACTGTCCCATACCAAGTTTATAATCTGTATTATTTTTATACTTCACTTCAGAGAGGAGTCAGTCTCGCTAGCAGCACAGGTTCTGGACATATAGGACCAGCAGAACTAGCCTTAATGCTCCCTACACCACCATCACATGATGCTCCTCAGCCTAGCCCTGTTGATGGTGTCTCAGTATCCACCAACCGTGCGAATCCTTCAACAGCTTCAGTAAGCACCCCAGGACCAGGTTCTCCATCTGTTCAAACAATCCAGGATTCATTATCGTCCAGCGCAGCAGACACGTCACATTCGGTCCCTACACCCTATCAATCTGCCAATTCACCATCAACCTATCAAAACCAAGGATTATGGCACCTTGCGAAATTGCCTTGTATTCAAAACCTCAGTAGCATCGGCATAGAATCTCAAGTAAGTTCATTTCAGTAAAGTGTAGATACCTGTCTACGAAATCTTGGTTATTTTCTGCCAATACATTTTTCAAATCAAAAGAACTACAACGGTACTCTAATTTAACGCGATAGTTTACCCTATCACTTCATTAATAATACATTTATTGTTTGGTCATGGTTTCAAACAATGAGTTGACGATGACACGTTCTTTACTGTATTATCAAATGTTTAATCTGTACTATCGATCTATTATATATTGTTATCTGTTAGTGTCGTTTTGTCGTAAATATCCATTTTAGTACTATAATCTGATAATTCTAATTAAGTTGAGTATAGTGAAATGTTTGTAGCAGCAAAATTATGATAAAATAAAAAAGATATACATATACTTCATTATTTTCGTAAATATACTCATGATTAATTAATTCATAAATATCTGTTCCAGGATTGGTCTTTCGTTCAACCTTGCGCTGCCTATCTCGGTATGACAAGTAACTATCAAATCCCTCATGATGAAATTTCATTATTTGCGAAGTCTCTGCCTCAACTGAAGTGGTCCTATGACCACCGTGCATCAAACCAGAAGTCCATTATATCAGAATGTTTGGATCCACATTTTACACCTAATGGGTTGGTCGTCAATACTGGGAATCAGTCTGCGACATCTAAGTCTTGGTTAATGTCTCCTAATTCTTTCCCTCCCACTTCATTACATCGAAATGTTACAAACATTGATAATAAACCTTGTTCGCCTCAACAACTAAATGAATCTGGCACTACTTATTCTATCACAGGATTTGTGAAGTCAGCGGATTGTACGAACCCCAATACCAGTTACATAGAGGATTTCACTGATTGGTTAACCAGCTTGCACGAAACCAATGGGCTTTTAGTAAATTTAATTCTTTCAGATTCTATGCTAAATTTGTTCAAAGACCATAATTTTGACTCCTGTAACATTTGTGAATGCACGTCATCCATACTTGGCTCTGAGATTGGTCTGTACTTATCCAATTCAATATCTACGACATCACCTTGTAGTAGATCAGGAAGAACGAACGCTTCAGCTTTTGGAGGTCATGACTTAGTTAACGGATCTGGGTTCCATTTTACACGAGGATGCAAATGTGGTTTCAGTGCTGTAATGAATCAGAAGTACGTAGTTAATGGAAATTTATTCTATGAGGATGAGATTGAAGTAACCCGACTGTCCGTCCGATCTCTAAGTCAGAATAATGAAAATCCATATACTCGTCCACCGAGCTACCGGACACGTCCAGGTTGGTGGGTGACCAGTTCTCACCCTTCTGTTAGTCATTTGCTCTTACTTCAACGGATAATGAGTAGCGTATTTGAAGAATTTAGTGTACGACAGATAACTGACCAGCTAAGATGGAATATGTTGTCGCGTGACCAAATCATTAAAGAAAATAAACTCGAATATGATGGTAAGTTTGAGTGTTCCTAAGAAAAAAGAAGTTCGAATTTGTACCTTGTTTGTTATTATCTCACAGATGTTCCGTCATGTCTTATTGTTTACTAATTATCCACTCAAAAGATTTATAAATTTGGTATGCTAGTTGAGAAATAGTTGACTTTGTACCAGTAGATCTAGCCAGTTTGAAACAAGCAAGCTTTTTTTAACAACTGTAAGCATCAGTGCTAATCAAATTAAGTTCAATAATTCAGAACTGAAGTAGATCGATATCCTACTGTATTCTATTAAAATTAAATAATAACTGATAACCGGAAGAAAAACATTGAAATAATTCAGGGTGAAAGAAAACATCATCTAAAATATTCAACCGAATGCTTATTTCTGGGTTAACATGATTGTGTTTTGTGTTCACTTGAATTAATCATATTAACATCGGTGCTGCAAACTACCGGGTTTATCGAGTGTAGTGAGTTATTTTGGGTATGTAAACCAATTTCCTACAATTGTTCGCGTCAATAATCGTTTGGTTTTCATTTATTTTAGGAAATAATGAGATACAAAATACCTCTTAATAAGTTCTCTGTACTTTAGATAACAGGTTATTGTCAAATGAAGTTTGTTGATCATGCTAGTTTTATTCTTTTAAGGGGAAATGTTTAGTGTAGGTTATGTGTTTCATCTTTATCACTAAGGAGATATCTACGACTACAAGTTCCTTACGACAGTTTCGTATTAATTTATTAGTTGAATTGTGTTCATCTGTCGATGCATTACTTTTGATTACCTTAATGTTTTTCTATCATTACTTCAACATAAGTGTTTCATGATATTTTAGCTATGATAATTAAACCATCCATTTTTCACGTATCATTTTTCAAAGGTTTGAATCTTTGTTTTGTGGTATATTCAAATGTTCTGTGATGATCTGAATGACAAACTTTATCTTACTTTGTGTCTTTAAATCGTTTATTTTTATTGATTGAACTTATTCAGACGCGTGTGCTCTAATTTCATCGGCTATTCGCGATTCTGCCGCAACAGTTTCTCCACGTGGAGTGTCTGGCTCAATTAACAATGTTGATTCCATTACAATTGGTACACCCCATTCGGTTCCCGAAACTGGTGCATATATTCATCCTTCTTTTTTTCTAAAAGCTCACTCTAAAATGCCTCAAAATCAAAACGACCAAATTCGCTTATTGACTGTGAGTATTTATGTTAAAACTAATCGTTTCTGTAGTTTTACCCAGGGTTTATTTTGTGCTCATCTGAAGTTTATTTGTCATTAACATCGGTGGTTATCGTATTTTAAAAGGGGCCTAAATGTAATAGACTTCTACTTTGGATATTGCATAATATTATATCTTTTTTGCTGAGTTTTTAGTTGATAGAATGACACCAAAAAAAAAAAACAGGAAATTCACAAATTAATTACCAGGTTTAGTTCAAATATTCCAATTATTTTCTTACATGAATTTCTGCACAAAACCCTTTCAGTAAATGAAAAGCATCGTTTAGTTATCCTCAAAAATTGTTAAGCAATTACTCTATTGCTAAACCAGAAAGATGTTTTCCTTTGAAGACATTTAAAGCGTAAATTCTACATAATTTTTATTAACAAAATGGTTGTTGATCTAAGTACATGTCTATCTATATATTCGCCTGATGTAACTTATTTACTTATGTTTATTTTTAATTTTTCTCTCGTTAATTTAAAGCTGACTTTTTGATTACTAAGTAAGAATCGTAATTTGATTAGATATCGAAGTATATGCATTCATTTTTTATTTCCAGACTCTGCGTCCTTGGCTCCAGGAGGCTATTTCATCTACTCGTATGTTAGAATCTAACTATACTGTTGACGGACCACTAACGTGGAAGGCATTTCATCAACTTGCTGGTCGAGGCTCTGATGAAACATGTAAACCCCAACCAATTCCCCAGTTGCGCGTTAGCAGTTGCGATCAAGAAAACTTGTTAATATCTCCTTTTGCACTTCGTGATTGGGTAATTTTTATCCTTTTAGTTCCCATCAAATATGTTCTTTATTTTGCTTATTGTTAGTCATGCATACTTACGGGGCTCTTCTCAAAATTATTTTATGAAATCTTAGTTATCCAATTTGTCTATTAATTTCATGTCTGTTTGTAACCGTTTTTAAAATTTTCCCTATTTAACTCGGCTGTACTGCATTTGTATTATTATTATTATTTAACAATATTAAACTCCGTTGCGTTGATATTACTAAAATTTGTTGAGTTTGATGGTTTGTAGTGAACTTTAGGTTTGCTTTTGAACTATTTTGCTTAAGTTGTCGGTTATAGTTAATGGCATACGTGCCTGTCAGTATTCCGTTTTGAAACCGATTTGCAATTAATCCTCTTATTTTATGATTTTATAGGACCGATTATCATTGTTCCCATTATCGCGACCTAAACGTATTGCTTATGCTGTGGTCTTGCCTTCTGATTCTCATATGTTGTCTAATTCAACTTCTACTATCCCTAATATTTTAACTTCCGAGGGCGCCGATTCTAATTCTACTCCTTCATCGACCCCAACTTCATTAAGGCGTACTCTTGTTGATTTTCTGAGAGAACTGTCACATACCTATGAAGCTTGCCACCTTGGACAGCATTTCCCATATTACAAACCAGAAGCAAGTTCTCCTGATACAGCGTTTATACCCGTCTTTCTAAATTCAGGTAAGCCACTGATCTCTAAGCTTTTTGTATTATTTAATATTTGCGTTCATACAGTTGATTCACGCGTTTCGTCCACTTTGGTACTCATCGACTGGAATTACGTGCATCGCAGAGTTGATGTTCACTCTACTGTGAATATTATGTACACAAATTCATAACGAAATCCAATCAATGTTTGTCATCAACTTTTATTACAATTTAAAGTGTCTTTGTAGTTATTCAGTCAGATACAACGTTGAACTTCGCGCGTTTCGGAGAAGTAACACACATCGATTGCACGGGATTCCAGAGTTCTAGCTAATAAAACCTGTTTTCCCATTCGATACAAGGTTGGAACATTAAAAGCTCCAAGATGTGGTTTAGAGCGTGGTTTCATGAGACCAGGAATAACGTTTCGTGAGCTCAAACCGTTTGCTTCAGTGGCGCGACGTGACAAAGGAACGAAAGAATGGTTAGTCGTGGAGATAAAAGCTATCATGAGGTGTAGAAAGGATATGATTCTGACGGATTTAGTGTCGTGTGCATTTATAGATATGAGGGCGGTTGCTACTTCCTGGCTGGCCACACCGTGGAAAAACTCCGGTTGTCAGAATGTTGTTGGAAAGTGGAAATTTCAGGATTTTTAGTCATTTCTTCTCACTTATAACATCATTTATCAACAACGTTTGTGTCTATCAGGTGGCTAACACGCTGCTAATAACAAGTAGATTTTCTTACGCACGGAATTCAGGAATCTAATTCAAGTCAATGCGTCAATGACTGATTGCCTAGCGTAGGCGTCACATAGTTAACTAGGTCGTCAATTTTGTTTACTTTATTTACTCATTATTTAAGAATTAATAGACGTCAAAAATAACTTCAACATTGATTTTTGATGTCACATTTTATATGGTAGGTTCTTATTCCGACGCTTATTTTCATGTGACGGTGTATTTCATTAATACACCTATCATAGGAATTCCAATAATTCAGTGTTCGGTTTGTTTCCTAAAACTTGCATTTTAGAACGTCTTTCAATATCAGAATCTGATAGCTTTGTAAGTATTCATCCGGATCTCCTAAAAACCCTTACAGAACAACTAGGCAATCATTCACTGTGTGGAGAATCAATACTGCGAATTATTCAAAACTACGCCTGTTCTTCAGTAAATTCCACCATAGCTGCATTAAGAAAACACGGTGTTGCTGTTGAGTTTTGTTCTGAAACTAATGTACGTTCTGTTTTATTCCCACCTTTTGAATCGGTCAAGTCAGAGAAGTCTAGCGCTCCTATAAAGACCAATCAAGATGATGTGAAACTGAATATCGTCAACCGACTTGCAGTTCCTGGTAAAAAAGATAGTAGTTGTTCAGTACGCTACAGCAATGGTGAAGGTCCCTTCACAACATCATTGGATACTTCTTCTTGGGGTGCGGGGAGTGATATTTATTTGGTTATATATATTCTAAATCCTTTCTGCTACGTAAGTGGTTAATTTCTTGACTATACAACAAATATTAGCTTTTAATAATTCTTGACTTTTAAACTACACAGTATTCCTATTTTAAGTTTTTCTTGTTAAATAGAATGTTTTGGATACTGACTTCACGAATTGATAAAATTAGTTCCTTGTTAACTCTTAGTCGGTTGGTAATCATTTTTACGTTTAATGTTCCTCATCATATATCACAAAAAAATCTGTATGCTTGTCATCTAACTTTAAACATAGTGGTCAGTCAGTCAATCAGTTGCAACGTAGAACTTCGTACGTATGTACATAAGTTAATGTTGCCATACCACATTATTAGCACAGAGACGCAAATGTCAAATCAAATCCCATAGTGATAAAGATTGTAGAGGTATTAATGTTATAATAAAGAAGACTAGGGTTTAAGATATTATTCAAAAAATATAATTCAGTGAGATAAGGTTAGAAAGACAAAGGTAGATGTGCTGACGAATCCAGAAGATTAGGATTTGAGAGAGCTCAAAGAGTGGATGCACCTGCGCCATTGCAAACGATTTTGAGCCATGTCGTTCAAGGTCTCTAACCATTGATGACTTTCGTCTCGCGGACCCCAACCAGGTAGTCTACATCTACCAACATGACTCAGTCCACTTGTCAGTGACTTCATGGATTTCTGCCATGTTTTGGTCTGGCCGCCCCTAGCTTTCTTCCAACCTACTCCTACACCACAAAACATAGCTCGTCGAGGCAGTCGGTGGTTAGGCATACGTAACACATGTCCCAACCACCTCAACTGATGAAGTTTCACCACTTCATCGATTGATCTGCCATCCTTACCTAGTACTCGTTTCCTAACGACAGCATTGCTTACTCGGTTGTCCCACGATATACGAGCAATGCTTCTTAAACATCTATGATCGAATACTAGTAACCTACGAACATCTTCTACTCTTAACGGCCATGTTTCACAGCCATATAAGAGAACGGAACGAACTGCTGCGCAGTACACCCGCCCTTTGGTTAGCGAACGGATATCACGCCTACGCCATAAGTGACGCAGGTTGGCAAAAGCCAATCGAGCTTTCTGTATCCGAGCTGAGATTTCGTCAGTCACCAGGCCATCAGCACTAATGAGACTCCCAAGATAAGTGAAGTGATCAACGCGCTCGACTACTTCACTCCCTATCACTAGTTCAGGTGCCGAAGCAACCCAGTCTTGAAGCAACATTTTGCATTTCGAGGGGGAAAACCGCATCCCGAACATGCTCGCATTGTTGCTTATGGTAGTCAGAAGACTCTGCATTTTGTCAGCGTCTTCACCGAATAGAACTATGTCATCGGCATATTCTAGATCAGTAAGCGGCTTTCCTGGTAGAAGGTCAACCCCTGAAAAATCTGACGAGCTTAATGTTAACTCTAAGAGGATGTCTACGACAAAGTTAAACATAGTGGTATTTAAGATTACCTCATCATATTTACTGGCAATTTTTTTTCAGTATTAGAAAGTAAATTTTTTTAAGTACTTCTTTGAGTAAGAGCTTAAGCTTTAATTAGCTCTTAATTAATTAAACAAATTTTTCAACATGTTATATCTATCAGTATTCGTCGTACCTATAAACTGACTGACTTTTCGTTTGTCACCATTCATGATTTCCAATCACATCAACATTCTATTTATTCAATTTTCTTAATTGTTTGATTCATATTTCGCTTTCTGTTGAGTTAGACTTGGAAACTAGACATACGGCTAAGATGAATAACTACGTACACTACCAGTTTGATATGTTACAAAACCCGTTAACTGAATTGAATCTGTGTATTTAAAGCCTAATTTACAACTTAGGAATCACAATTTTAATTGATTATGAAATATGTGACCTGAGGCGCTACCGCCATCAACATTTTGTTAGCCACTATAATTGTACATATTTCAAAATTAATTTGTCTAATGTGTAAAAATGACTTCCATGTTCCCTAGAAATATATTGTAATCCAATTATCTTTATGGGGTAACAGAGTGAATTTTGAAAGCAGACAATCATAGTTGTACTGTCCTCTGCTGTTTCTTCCCAAAACGGTTACTGTATATAGTTGTAAATTAACGCCTGTAAATCTGAAATCTAGATATAGAAGTCAAATTGTGGTTTAAGTGTAATGAATAACTGTGCACCATTCAATCGCTAAAGACAGAAAAATGAATAGATTAATGATTAAATGATTATTTAGTTTCATTTCATAATTTCTGAAAATATGCGCCAAATACAATACTACGCTTAAAATCTAATAAATTTCCTTAAATTTTTTCAAATGGCGAATTTCACCGACCATTTTGTCGTCAGTTGAATTCATCGGGTCACTGTGATGAGTAAATGCATGATATATTACTTAAGGAATACTAAACAGAATCGTTTCTGGAATCTCGTTTTTGTACACACTAAAATGTGCATTGTAATATTTACAGCAAATTCACCTCAGTATATGTCTTCTTTTAATGTGATTTCAGCTGTGTGATGTCAGTGTGGAGCTTGGTAGAATTGTTATGCAGTCATTAGTCGGTTCTGCCAATCATATATTGAATTCTTTACCTGAATCCTGGCGTTCGCGTGTCACCACACAAATTTTATCAGTCGATCATGTCATGTCTGACTATTTGCCCCGTTTACGACCTTTAGCATTAGCAGTTTATACATCTGTGAATCGTTTCATTGAACCCAGTTTGATAAATGCAAATCGTACATTAACAGGTATCGGTCCAGCAGCTGAAAAGGAGATTATTTCAAATGACAAAGACGTAAGTTAATGAAAGTATTATTGATCTAAACTAAAGCTTAATACTTGCTAATGCTTTGCCTATTAAAGTTCGTAGGTTATCTTTAATCTGGCAAAGTTTCTGTGAATAATGTCAGTGTAATTTTCGTATATGTTGTTATATCTTCTTTACATTCGTTGTTTATGAATACTCACACTGAAAATAAAGCCTTTTGTAGTTGGTAAATACCAACTATAACCTAAAGCGCAGGTGCATGTGAACATCGAGTTACACTTTATATATGAAGACTACTAGTGTTAACCAGTTGGTGATATCATATTTGTAATAAAAATGCTAATTGACCTTCTTTAAAAGCTTCGAAAGAAAAGAAACTTGATAATCTAATCAACATATACGTCTTAGTAAATTGTGTTCAAACACCTTAATAGTATGCATGTAATACTTGCTACAAAGATCACACTAAATTGTCGGTGTATCTATTTATTTCCCTTTTACTCTTAATACTCGAGAATTTTTCGAATAATAGATATGCTTTCATGTCTTAAATTGTTTTGTTTGACATTGTTTTGACCACTTTTATGGACAATCGAATTTTCAAGTGATTATCAACTTATGAATGATGATACCCAATGTTTATTGTGCTAATAATATCGTTTTGTTGTGGTGGTGTTTTGTTCTCTGAGCTGGTTGTTTTGGTTGTGGAGCTTTCATTGTTCTTCTGAACAACATCATCATCACCAGCTCAGAGAACAAAACACCACCACAATCATCCACCTGAGCTACAAGTTTTCTCCACCATCTCAAAATATCGTTTTGTGACATAATCTCATTTGGTAAAAAAAATGAAGAGTTTATTTATGGAATTTTTTAGTGATCAAAATATTTCGTAATAAAAATGATGATAAGTTTTATATTCATTTCAAGTGAGAAAAATAGATGTCTGTTGAAAAAAATCAATAATTCTAGACTTACAAAACCTCACTGTAATTTAAGTATACTCAGGGTAACTAACTTTATAACTTTGTAATCTAGAGTGATTCGCTTCTTGGTCTAAAATTGCTGTTTGAAATTTTCCATTATTTTTTTGACTAAAGATTAACAGTGTAGCATATTTGAGAAACATTGTTTTTTTGGTCAAACCATTCGGCTTACATACAATCTTTGAGTATTCACATTTTTTGATCTTCTCTTTGTCTACATCGATCGAACCAACTCGATCAGACCATTAAATTTCATGCATGAAATATTTATTAGACTCATTTTCATAGATATGTTGTATTAGGGTCACTGAGTTACATCTGAATATCTCATAATCACTTACTGTCTTGTTTCTGCATCTCACCAAGGAGAGGTCATTTGGTCACCATTAATTTTGATAGTTCATTTTATTTCTAAAAGGTTTTTTTTTTTAAAAAAAAAAGTCATGCAATATTTACATTCCTGTTCATTTTGCTGTTTGTATATAATTTTACAAGGATGAATTTTATTGATCCACTTTAAATTTAATTTTTTTTAGTTTGTATTTAAAAAAAACAACTATTTATTTAATTGTGAACAACTAACCTAGCCAACTACTATCCATCTAGATATGAATGAAATGCACCTTAAAAGATTAGAAATTTGTTCAATAAATAGTATATATATTTTATTTAGATCAGATTTAGTTAGTTTTAATTATTAATCAAGTAAGAAAGAAAAAAAATCGAACCTGTTTTCGTCATTGTGTTTTGTATTTCTTATTCATAAAAGAAAACGAATGATAAATATTGCATTCTTTTTCTAAACATTACATGTGTGTAAACTATGCATCAGACTATATATAGGTATCTGTTAATCACTGACCATACCTACTTATATAACACACACCTAATAATTTTTATTCTTCATAATGACTACTTTGTGAAATGACAAACATCTTTTTTGCTCAACTGTGTATTAATTCACTCCAATTCTAGCACTTTTACTTTCATTCTCTTTTAAAAACAATGTGTGTCTATGAACTGGAAAAAAGAAACAATTTTCTCGAAGTGTAATTCTCACACATACACACATACACACAGTACTTATTTATATGTACAACTTCATTTGTTATTTATTAGTTTATGCAAACTGTGTTTGTTGTATTTTTAGTGTATTAAGTTCGGAATGATAATTTCTTGTTTTATTCAGAAGTTTGTTTTTCTTTTGTCTAACTGTGTTGTAGGTTACAATAAAATGTTAGCTCGTAATTTGGTATCCTAAGATGACATGAATAAACGTTTTTGTTGATGAATGAGCACATACTACTGTGTATATCTAATTCTTGTTACAACTAATTGATATCTGGCAATTTCTAGGAATAGGCTAAATGAATCGAGAAAAGAAGTTTTCATAAATAAGTTCTGAAATTAATTTGTGAACATTTAGTACTCGATGAATACGCTTTGAATTGGCATGAATCAAATGTTCAGCGACTAAAACATGGATTTTAATCACCGAATTGCCAGTTCATAATCTTCATATACTTGAATGTAACCAACTGTGTA